AAAGTAGAGTGTGTGCTCTCACTCGGACTTCGGAAGAATAGTCCTTACTTCCGTTAATGCAAGCTTCGAGGGTCTTTCTTGTTGAAGTAGAGTGTGTTGTTCCACTCGGACTTCCGAAGAATAGCCCTTGTTTCCATCAATGCGAGCTTCGAAGATCTTTCTTGCTGAAGTAGAGTGTGTGCTCCCACTTAGACTTAAGAAGAACAAATCTCGCTTCCGTCAGTGCGAGCTTTGAGGGATAGCATTTTCTTCTATTGATGGCCGAAGAAATGAGTGTACATCCACTTGGATTTCCGAGGAACAACCTTGCTTCTACTCGGACTTCTGAGAGACAATCTTTACTTCTGTTGGTGCAAGCTTGGTAGACTCGGTTGCCTTCCAGAGGGATCTTTCTTGCCGAAGTAGGGTGTATGCTACTTTCAGACTCCTGAGGGACAGTTTTGCTCTCGTTCAGACTTCCGAAGGATAGCCCTTGCTCTTATTAGTGTGGGTTCTGAGGGCCCCGGGGTCGTAGATTTCACACAAAAATTTATTTGCCTGAAATAGTAAAGCTGACAAACTAGACAAACAATATCGAGTTCAGATTATGATTCGAACATTATCGAAATAGAGACGGCATCAACAATAGTAATGATCTACTGAAGCTACAACAATTTTATTCCTCTGAGCGAGTTCATGAAAATGCAACAATCAAGGTTTTGTCTCTCCAGGCCGGTTCCTCTCAAGCCGACGTAAAGCTACAACGGTCACACAAAATTTTGGCATCAACTATGTATTTCCCAAGCATCCACAAGATCAACAAAACGACAATCAGGCCTCGTTTTGGAACATGCTAATTTAGTAACTTTTTGGCTATTTGGCTAAAATATGAGCTAAAAAAAATTAATATGTTTAGGATGACTTTTTGACTTTTTACGAAAAGATGTACAAAAAGTAAAGAGAAAATAGAATCTTTGACTTTTGGTATGAGTTGTTGATTTTTTGACTAATTTAGTAATTTTTTAGCTTTTTGATTAAAAAGAAGAGTTCCCAAACGAGGCCTCAATCATTCGACAACAAGAATTATATACAATATGAGGGCCTCATTTTCTCCGATTTCATCGACAACAACAACATTTATTTTATTAGTTACATTCAAGCAAAGTTAGCAACAACATTCACTTGGATTACATGTTCTTGCTCAACATCAATAACTCAATGCAAGCATCAAGTATTCTATTAATATCAAAATGGTCAACCCAAGTGCTAAAAAAAATGAAGCTCAATATTCAACATAGTCCCATCGTGCCTTTTCTCAATGATAAATGCCAACAAGCCATATTCAAGTCTAAGTTCATCAATGGAATTTCGGAGCTCAAACATAGGCCTGAAATCTGTTTTCTTCAAGAAGAAGTTATATAAATCAGGGCAGGGTCAACAGAGTGCTACCTATCTCAAGCAAAAAATTGCAAATTCTCAGAGTGTTAGAAATTACAAATTCTCAGAGTATTAAATCAAGTTGTACAAGGGCCAAAACTTACCCAGATCTTTGAAACCCGAAATCAAGTGAAAAAGTTTTTGAAAAGAAATGAAATTAGTTGAGAGGCGGACCAAGGCCCACAAAAAATGGGTTTCAGAGCAGATTGGTGGCGGCGCGAGTAGCGTGCGTAAACAGTGGGCTAGAAGGATGCTGGGCAGGCCAACACCGCGTTGAGTGGGCGGTGTGGCCAGCGCTGGTCGGTCGCGGCTGGTAGCAACAATGAGGTCGCAGATGTCGGACACAAGGCACGCAGGTCGTGCGAGCTGGTGGTTGCGCGTAGGGCAGGTGCGAACTGAGCCCGCAAGCAAGCAACAACTGTGATACCGCAGCAAAGCTGTTGTCGGAGCTGGCCAACCGTAGCCGCAGCAGTGGTGTCGCAGACGAGTCGGCGTCGGCGTTGGCGTTGGTCAGCGAAATCGAGCTCCGATGTGCCTGGATCTCTGAGGAGTTGCGTCGCTAAGCCGAAGTAAAGCACCGATGGTGAAATAGAGCCTCTGGTTTGTTGAAGAAGGAGAGCACAGCATTAGCCTCTGATTTGTTAAAGAAAAAAAAAAGTAGCCTGAGTTGGTCTCGGTTTAGAGAGAGACAGAGCTGAAACGGTTATGGCAAAAATTTGGGAAGGATTCAGGAATTTCAGAGAGAAAAAAAAGCCGAATGGCTGTGGCAACAAAAATATAGATTAGGCTTTTGTCCTTTCCTTCAAAAAGAAAAAGAAAAAAGAGAGGTGTGATTCTTGGCATATTCTTTCAAATATCCTGAATATATATATATATATATATCCTGAATATATATATATATATATATAAATAAACCGAGGCCTTTGATTTGGACTTCTGGAGTTAAAAAAAAATGGTCAGACTTTTGATTTTATTTGTTTCAAGAAAAGAAAAGAATTGTTATTATTTTCTTTGAGCAACTTAGGTCTCGTTTGGGAACAGGTTAATTTAGTAATTTTTTAGTTATTTGGCTAAAAAGGTAGGTAAAAAAAACTTGTATGTTTGGGATAATTTTTTGGCTAATTACGAAAAGATGTGCAAAAAGTAGAGAGAAAAGAGAATCTTTGACTTTTTGGTATGAGTTGTTGGCTTTTTGACTAATTTAGTAACTTTTTGACTAATTGGCTAAAAAAGTAAATCCCCAAACGGGGCCTTAGTTGGTGCCTTATTAATTATATGTCCAGGTTGGTTTGGTGGAGTATTAAACAATTCAAGTTTTCATTTTCTTTTCAAAAATAAAAAAAATAAAAAAAGTCTATGGCAAAAAATAAAAAATAAAAAAACAGGTCAGACTATTTCATGAGAGAGGAGTTTAATTCTTGATCATTCTTGGTTGATGGATTATTAAATATTTAAATTTTGATTTCTCTTTGAGAGAATAAATCAAAAGTATGAAGTGTGTTTGCCAAACATGACATAAAGATAAAAGATTCTTTCTTATCATTACTAGTTGACAATCTTATCTATACATTATGGGTCATCAATCTTATCCAAAAGTCACATGAAGATCAAATATTTCTGAAGACGTAATGCGAAGCATAGCTGACAAGGTGAAACTATGCATGTCCGAGAAAACTACAATTTCTCATACACGCAAGGGGCAAATATAAGAGGAGCTAATTTGAGCCTACTAATTAATTAGGCCCAATAGTCTAAGGTTGGTGGGCCCGAATTTATCGCAAGTCCAAGATTGGTGGGCCCGGATTTATCGCCATCAAACGGACCGAATCGCTCTAAGTCTCGAAAGGTTCGGATCCACGAATTTAGAGTCTTACTCGGGCTCGGACTCGAAATGGTTCGGATCCACGAACCTAGAGATCCGAAGCACTTGGTTTCGAACGGATTCAGACACAATCTAGAAAGCCGCTCCATTAATGAGTCCCAGAACACTTGCGGACTCAGAGCTTTCTGGGATTTACGTAGCAGAACCATGGGCGTAATGGAGTCCGAACAAAGGACCCGATCCCGAGGACGGTGAGTGGAGATAAATTCACTCTTCGGTTAAACTAGCCTATACCCCGGTCGTGGTGGCACGATCTAGGGAGTCCCTGAGACTAGGCAATATTTGCGGCAGGATGTTCTCTTGAACCACCCCTGACCCTTCTGCAGTAGGACGTCCTTTGGGACTACCCCTGACCCTTTGGGATGATTGGGAATCATTGGTTATGTGTGGCTAAGAAGAAGGGTTCGCCGAGAGGTTGATCTCCTCTTCGGGATTTTCCTCATCCTCGGAGAGGTCACCTCCTCGGACAAGGTGGTTAGAGAGAATATTCCCCATGTGCCTTGCACATGGGCTCCATCCTACATCATGAGGTGTCTATAAATAGCACTCACCCATAGCTTCACAAGGGATGGATTTTGGAGAGAAAACTCTTGGGAAAGAACTAATTTCCCTTCTCCATTATCAACTTTGAGAGTGAAAGTGGGAGATCCATGGGAGAGCCTTGCCATTATCGTCTCTCTAACTATTTTGCCTTCTTCTTCACCCAATCTCTTATCTCCATCATCTCTTTGCTTTTGTGTTCTTAGTTGAGGCTATTGAAGAATCTAAGCCTCTCATCATCTTCTAGAGAATTCGAATTTTTCTTCAAGAATCTTCGAAGATCTTCGAATTTTCCAACGACGTTCTTGAACCCTTTCATACAAAGAAATTGAAATGACTTTTAGTCCAGGTGGATGAAATTCTTTAACTACTAACTTCAACAATTTCATGTATTTTATCTAAGAAAACTAATAAAATAGATCTTTTGATACATTTTCTTGCTAAAAACCAATTCCAATTCACCTGAGTCACTATTAACTCTTGCTAAACACTGATTGGTCTAGGTCAAAGTGTTGGAATCTTCCACGTCATTGTTCAATGGTAGTGAATAGTCCAAGGAAATGATTAGATTGAATGATAAGATGTCTCGTTGGTTCTCATAGATGGATCCGATGAAAGCGTTGCCAGAGATAAAGATATAGAGAGAAGTGACGTGTGTGTATGAAGAGAGAGAGAGAGACAGAGAGGGGGACGTAGAGATCTGGAAATGACATAGAGAATGGCGGTGGTAACAGAGAGACACGACAAAAAGAGTTCTAGGATTTTTTTATGTTTGTACAAATAATTTGGTCCATTTATGTCAAAAATTTTCTTTATTCTTCTACAATTTGAAATCTTTAAGACTTTAACTAACAAATAAATTTTGTTCTTTTTAAACTTTAACCAAACTTGTAGTGGGATACCTTCATAATCTTCCTAAAAAATTATTTCATTTGGTATATGTTTTTTGTTAGCTATTTTAATAATTTTTTAAGTGATTTAGGTTTTTTTTTTTTTTTAATTTTTTTTTTTACTTGAAACCAGAGTAGCCAAATGACAAGTTACTTAATTTAACAATGTGGACTTATCTGTCTACCATGGTCTTAATATAGGGGTTTAGTGTAATTTACTCATTATTTATTGTAATAAATGTTAAACAATTGTATTTGTCTTGTTCAAACAGCTAGTGGAGATGCACCATGGGAAGGGGGCCACAATCCATGAAGTCGATCAGAGTTAGGTATTGGTTTCTCCTACTGCACCATTATCGTTTTGTTCTTCGAGTTTTAGATTGATGGTGTTTACACGAGCTTCTGAGAATTAAAATAAAAGGGAAAAATAAATAAATATTGAGATACTTGTAATAAAATAAATTTTTAATTTTATAAATTTTAATTTTAATTTTTGGATTTGTTTGAATTTAAATCATGCATATATTTTTGTTTAGTAAAATTGAGGAAAAAAAAATATTTAAACCATTAAACTCAATGTAGGTATATATAAAATGTTTAAAATACACTTTATCATTGAATTTAATGTCTAAAATATTTTTTTTGTAATCAATTTTACTTAACGAAATTAGACAAATGGTTTAGATTAAACATAAATTAAAATATTATGGTTTAAATTGATAAAATTTAAAATTTATTTTGTTACAAAGATCAAACTCTAAGAGTTGTTTTTATAATTTCTCCTAAAATAAATTTGGAGAAATTATACATCAATGGGGCTTTCACAAAATATTTAATAATTTTTTTTATAAATTTAAGTATTAATATTTATAAATTTTAATATTGATTTATTTATTTATTTTTTGTTTGAAAAGATACACTGCGTTTTAATTTCTCCAATAAACTATATCCGTGGTTGTCGCGTGCAGGGGTTCACATGATAGTACCGAAGACTACTATATCGAAAACAATAATGCTAGGTATCATGAAAACAATGTCATGAAAAGTTTTCATGAAGATTCTCCACCATTGGATTAGATTATAGTGTTTGTAGTGTTTAAGATACACTGCGTTTTAATTTCTCCAATAAACTATATCCGTGGTTGTCGCGTGCAGGGGTTCACATGATAGTACCGAAGACTACTATATGGAAAAATGGAATATTTAATGTAGATTCTTACACGTGATTATGTTGTATATTTCATATGATAGCAGGAAAACATGTGCTCCTGATGAATTGTATTTTGCAAAATATTGTGTTATCAATCATATGTAATGAATAATTTGGCAAAGACTACTCATCAAATTTGATATGCATTTTATGTAACCATTTATCTGAGCTTTTATCTTCTATTACAAAGTGGGTGTTTGAGAAATGGATTTTTTTTTTAAGTTTTTTTAGTTGTAGGATATTATTGAGAAATTTTTTTTTTTTGTGTTTGGGAAGATAATTGGATTTTTTATGGTTGGATGTAATGTTTGTGAGAGAAAAAGTGAAATGATTATGCGGTTTGATGTGATATTTTGTTTGGATTTATTTTTTTTGATTTTGGAAAACATTTGTCTTGTAGTGAAAAAAAAAAAAAAAAAAAAAAACTCAAAACCCAAGTTCCCAAACACCGCAAAAGTCGATGATATAAACATAGTATTTTTGTAAAGGCTACGACCAATGTTATGCATGTCATTTATATTTTTGTAGACGTATTTTTAAGTAAGTTGCGTAGATCTAAGATGTCGGTCGGGAGCGAACACAAGGGGGATTAGAAGGTGTTGTGGTCCCTGCAAGTAGGGATGTAATAATGGTCCGGCTTGGCTCATCCAGGTCTAGGTTTGGGCCGGCCCAAGTAGGCTTCACGAGCTCTTGCCTTTTTAGTGGGCCGGCCCGGCCCATGGGCCAAAAGGTGGGGCCCAGAACCAAGCCCAAGCCCACTCATAATAGGGCCAAGCCTAGGGCTAGGGCTAGGGCTTGGGTTGCGGGCCGGGCCTAGTCGAGTTTTTTTTTTTAATTAGGAATAAAAATTTAAAAAAAAATTATACCAGAGTATTTTAGTTAAGATTAATGAGATATTTTGTTTGGTTATATAATGTTACATAGTGATATTTTGGCAAGTGGTGATTTTAGTCTAAAAGCCAAAAAGTCACTAAAAAAATCAAAAATCTTACAATTTTTATCTTACAAATTTATGCATTGTGCCTGTAAATGTTTTAATAATTGTTTTCAAACCTACAAACTTACAAACCTATAAACCTATAAATGTTTTCAAGTTCAAGTCTATTTTTTTTAAAAAATAATAATAATTAAAAAAAATTAATAATTTAAATATGACTGATGCTTGCAAGTTTGCCATCATTGTCATGGGTACAATGTTGTCATTGTCATTGTCACG